TTCTGATGTCAGGAAGGAAAAAAATCCCACTAGAGGGACCACTGCCAAGGGGGGGAACCACGTGGCAGTCAAAGGATCCTCAAAATCAATACAGGCCATGTGCCATGTTTTAAAAATGCCATTATATTTTAAACTAGTAACAGAAGCCAGTCACGGAAGAGTGTCCCCATAATCCCACCCTGAGCTTGGCGTTCACCTGGCACCAACGTGAATAAGGTGCCACGTTCAACGTGAACAACTAAACTAAGGGTGAAGCCGAGAAACTAACAGCAAAAATCGTTAAGCCCCTGGAACACGAGAGCTATGAAGAATGGTTTAAGTAGGTGGGATTATTCATCACCGAAATAAAAACACCAGGGGATGACCTCATCGAGGTTTTCAGATACAGGGAAGGTGACCAGCTGTTCTTTCTCCTCTACAAGCCAAACAAAAAAAGGCGGGTTTCAATTTCCATAAGGAAGACATACAAAGAACTCTCTGATCAGTAGGGCAGGTTACAGAATCTCCTTCACTGGAAATCCAGCAGCCCATCCACAGTCATATGTCTGTTGAAATAATTCAGGCACAGCCCTGACGGTAAGGGGGAACGCACTAGATGATGCAAACGTTCCCCCAGCTACAATCCTCTAGAAATAGGAATTAACGCTCTTAGCTTACCATCAGACTTGCTTTGTTTATTTTCACCCTGAGCCTGGATGGGAAGGGACGCAGAAAGAATGGCCCGACAGCCCATGAGGACTCTGGGCTGATCTCTCAGTATCAGGTCAAGTTTTCTCCTGTAATGTTTCGCACCTCCGAAACAGCTCACGGATCGTTTAAAACAAGATACTGCAAACAGCTGGCTCTCGTGGACACTAGGCATTCTTTGCACTGTTCCCCACAAGTGCCTGCTTTCCTAATTACATCCAGGCCCTAAGCACAGAAGTGCACATCATCTTAAAAAAGTGATTAAACGAAGAGCTAAAGCTATAAATAAGCTCCTTCAGGTTGTGGAATTCAAGCGAAATTGTTTCATGCGTTGTATTTTTTAAATGTGGAGGACATAAATCTGATTTTGAAATTAACTGGCTTGTCTTTCCTTTAGGACACCATGAAATGTAAAGTAGCTATCAAAGTTTTTTTTTTTTGTTTTTTTTTTTTTTGCTTTAAAGAACAGAAGTTTAGTTTCTCACAGTTTAGGAGACTAAAGGTCCAAATTCAGGGCACCAGCTCGAGGGCAAGGCTCGCTGTCTGCTGTCCTTGTCTCAGCTTCACAGCCTTGGAGGACTTCCCTGCGATCCTTATATGTGCTTCTGTCTTCCTCAGTTTGCGCTCCCTCAGTTATCAAAACATTTTAAACGCATTAGAATCACATCAGATTTCTGAGGGGGAGCAATGGGGAAAAGCAGCAATCCAGCTGACGGCTGCACTGAGCAACAGCATTTTCTAGTGGCGTGGCTATAATTACCACGGATAACTTTCATTTCAAATCTTCTAAAGCACAGGTTGCAAACTGGCAGCTAGTAGGCCAAATCAGGTCCACCCGTGTGTTCTGCTGGACCTGAATTCACTTAAAATAAAAAAAATTAGGTCCTCCAAGGTCGAGAAGGGAGGGTGTTGACATGTCGTGGGGTTGTTAACCAATGTTATAAAACAATATGTGTACTGACTGTTTAATGAGAAGCTATTTGTTCTGTAAACCTTCACCTAAAGTACAATTTAAAAAAATTAAATGTAGATGCCAACATTAAAAATCGGAGTATTTCATAAGAAAATCCAGATTCTCAACTTCTCATGAAAAAAGACAGCATGGCTACAGCTGGCTGCAGTAGCTACGCCCTGTAGTTGGGCCAGGAGCTCTTCAGTTTGCCGTAGTCCCCACCACTCCCTATAGTCTCTCTGACACTGAGAAGGAATATCATTGCCATTTATGATCTCACAGCTATTTTCCTTATCCCTGGCCTGCTACACTGGCACCCCCTGAAGGCATAACATCTGCTAAATAAAAGCAGCAGTCTTCACTAGCAATATGAAATGGCACAGGCTACTAACCTCATACTGGCATTGTCCAGCCACCTCTTTCCAATAAAGACACAAAGAATAATTTCTCTCTCAAGAGGGCCAAATTAGTGTTGAGATGGTTGGGGACTACAGGGTTTTCTTTTGGGAGGGGAGAAGAGGTATAATTTCTTCTTCAGGAATAAAACAGCTCCCCCCACCCTCAGCTTTTTTTCTTTTAAAGATGCTCGACTCAAAAAAGAGAAACCTCTGAAAATCATGTAACCCTACATTTTTAGAGGGGCAGTCTTCCTGTTTGTGCTTAAGTCAGGGGACCTGAGACTAGACGGAGCTGGTTTAAAAAACAAAAAGCAAACACGCGTGGCCATGAAGCAACAAGACGGAACTTCTCACATACATGAACTGAAACACCCATTTATTACACATGGATTCCACCACGTCACCGTTGGCTAAACATGCTTTCAAACTTCTGATCTGGGACTATTTTCAGTTGTTGCTAACGTGGCAACCAAGAAAATTCATCTCATGACTTGATGGCCCCATCTCATTTTTGGCACAAAATACTGTTACCTGACCGGGTCACCTGCCCGAGTACCTGGGCCTAGATCTGAATGACTTCTGATTTTTTTCTTTAGATCACTGTGCTGCTAGGGCCCAAAACAGTCCTCAAGAGGCCCTTCTGCACCTGGTGAGATGGGCTGGAGCCAGCGAGGTGGTCGCCGTCCTCGCTGGAGACAACCTCTGCGAGAAGGGCCCATCTTTACCTGGGCTTAATCTCCCCGCTCGCTCTCCTGGCAGAGCTGATTGTGTCAGATGCTCAATCCTTTCTGCAGGACGCTGGGGAATTCAGATGAACAATCACCCCCTACCTTCTGCTATCTGCAGGCCTCTCAGCGACCAGGAACCCTGGACTTAGCTTGTCTCCTTTCCACAGGACACCATCTAACTTATCCACACACACCTTTTGTTCTCAGGATCAAGGGCGCTCATTGACTTCGCCCCCATATTCTAAATCATATTCCACAATCTTGTTTCCCCCAGTGTCTGAAAGTCTGCCATTTGGCAGAACCTTCTAAATTCCATTTTATCATTTCCATTGTCAGGGACAATTTGTGAGTCAAAAAATGCAGCTCTGCTTAAAACAGATGTTTTGCCTTAATCTGCAGGGCAGCCATTCTCATCCCCGGCAGGAGATGGGGCGAGTCAAAAGGTGAAACCAATAAGGCACGATCAGGCAGCTGGGCTTCTCCACGCACTGAGTCAGGCGTTCACACTGTGCCTCCAGGATCTGCTATGCAGGTTAGAGTGTGAATCTGTTGACCATCAAAAATATCAGTATTTCAAAATAAGTACCCCAGACCCTAAATCCAAACTATAAAATCACCTGCCTTTTGGACTAGCACATTTCCTTTCTCCCTTCCATTTTCAGTAAGTTCATTTGCCAAGCTCTCTCCCCACGTTGCCCATGGGGCCCACTTCAATGCTCCCCCTCCCAGCCCTCCATGCCGTCCCTGCGGCTGCTTTCTCAACCATGCCGCCCTTCATGTGCAAGGCTGAAAATCCATCCTAAAAGCAGCTCCTAACGGTTCCTTTGGGGCATGCAACATTTCCTGTCCTCGCTAGGAAATCTCTCAGAAAATGTTTCAAAGCTCGGATGCAGCAGTCGCCTCCACAGAATGCATGTCGAGGCTGAGAGGCCAGAAGAGTCCTGTGCGGCAGGAGTGCGGTGCTTGCCCAGGATTCCCAGTGACAATGCAGAGCCTCTCTCCTCCAAGAGATGCCTGGTTTTATAGGGGAGACAACCCACAGCTCCCTTTGTCTCTCCCTCAGAGCAGCTGCAAGAAACTCGATGCCAGAGAACAGATGAGCACGTTCTTCTCCTGAGAAGCTGCCAGCTGCCTTTCCAGAACAGGGAGCGTGACATGTGCATCAAAAATACACACAAACCTCTTCCTGCCAGCAGGGGTGCAAACCTTCCCTCCCCACCTGCCAAGCATGTGCCTGGAAGGGAACACCCTCCCCCAGCCTCAGCCCACCCCCCTCGGATGCTTCTCAGCATCATCCCCCTTCATGTTGGTCCTATCTGATGAAGGAGTGAAAGCAACGGCCCGGTGATGAGTGCTGAGTAAACAGGGTGCCTGTGGAAAAGGTGGGGAAAGATGCTCACGCCCCCTTGAGGGCACGAGAAGGGCAGGGAGAGGAATTCCACGGAGCTGACGGCGACATATTGCCATACACTTTGGGAACAGGAATTCTATAGAAAAATCGTTCCTGAGAACATACACCTTTCCTCTTTAAAGCTAATTTTTTTCCTCGTAAGCTCTAAATGCCCATTTTTGGTAGGACAGAACACGACAGACCGATCTCTCATTGGGGGCGTACATGAGCAGTACAAAGTGAACCAGGATTCACTGGGCTGGGGAGGCGCGTACTTTTAAGATTCGAGAATTTTAATGATTTCAGGTAACGCATCTTCTTTAGACGATAATCAAAGGGCACAATCGGCTCTGTGACAGCCCTGTTTCTACCTTAAAAAAAGGTTTGTCGTTAGTCAACAGCACTTCAGCAGAGTAGCTGGCAGCCACCTCCACCACTGCGGTGGACTGCGCTCCCTAGCATCACAGGACGTGGCTTCAGGCCAGAAGACCAACCGAAGCACGAACTTCAACTTCCAGTAATACGGCCCAGCTGAGTACCAGTTTCCTACAAATAAACTTCAGGGCACCAACATCGGAGACGCAGTGCAGCAAATGGAACCCAGGGACACCTGGCAGACAGATGGGCCCCCGCACGACACCAACGCAGACCAAGAACGGGCTCCAGGTGCTGTGGTACCTTTTGGATGATGACCCAACCATGCTGGACAGGAGGGTCAGCCTGGCCCTGCAGCCTCTCAGCCAGCGCGTCACCCCCTAATACATACAGTTGATTTATAAGAGGTGACCTCTGACTTGGAGTTTACTCAACATCCACGGCATCGAAGTTCCACATCAGGAACCGACAGAAACATCGTCTGCAATGACACGGATCTCAGACGGGCTGGCTCTTGATTTCCTGGGGCTGTAATGACACTACGGGTGCTTTTTTCACAAAGCATTTCAAATCAAAGGAGCCACCAGCAAACTGGCGAAGTTTGCTGAACAAGATGAAGTCTGAACGATCAGCGCAAATATTTTCCTGTTTCTCTTTACACGTCTCCTCCCCGTCCCTGGAACAGGCCTAGTCCAAGGACTGGCCTAAGGCAGCCAGCTGTCGTCAGATGCACGGGCGTGCCCCTCAGAGCTCCACATGGTTTTAGAGAACTGAATACTTTGCCAAGGTATCTGGCGGGGGGTTGGGGCAAGGGGAGCAAGTACTGGCCACAGTTTCACTCAGGATATCCTTGTCCAAGACCTCAGCTCCCAGTGGGCCCTGCAACCAGAGGTGGCTGCTGGGGAGCCAGGGAGGGGAGCAGCTAAAGTGGCAATGCTTCGGAGCTTCCATTCCTTACGAAGGCGCGACCGCGTGCAGTTCATCGGTGCAGCTGTGGCACCCAAGTTCCGCTGTGCACAACCCAGAGGCAAGGAGCTTGGAGGGAAGGGCAGGAGGCTCCTCCTCACCTGGGGAAAGGAGAGAGGGCAGAGTCACACAGTCACTGCATGTCATTGGGTCGGGTGCGCGTGCTTGGACTACAGACTAGGCACAGTAAGGCAGGCATCCCACCCATCCGTTATCCCGCTAACAGGGTCTGGTGCCCAGAGCTGAGGAAGGAGGAGAGGTTCCTGGAGGCCAAGGATTTCCATGCAACTCCAGTGAGCCGTGGGCCTGGTGAGAAGCCCCAGGAGGCTCTCCTCACAGAGGCCTCCTCCCTGGGGCTAAGCGCTGAGCCACGATGGAGGGGCACTGTGCCCACAAGCCCCAGGTTCCATAGATGTGGCTTTAAGACAAGGAAAGGATCGGAGGTGGTGAAAATGGCAGGTCCCATCAAGGTAACTCTGCTGCCGCTGAGTCAATTCCAACTCACAGTAACCCCACGGACGCAGAGTAGAACTGCTCCATGGGGTTTTCTTGGCTGTAATTTTACAGAAGTAGATCTCCAGGCTTTCTTCTGTGGCACTGCCAGGTGGGTTTGAACTGTCAACCGTTAGGTTAGCAGTTGAGCCCAAACCATTTGCGCCATCCAGGGACCCTTCCCAACAAAGATACAGGTCCATCAGCCTCATCCAAAACCCTTGGGGCCCAACGTGTTTTGGAGGTTCAGAAAAGTGATACAACGCGCCTACTGTACATTACATAACACCCCTCACAGGGTCTGGGCAGCTCACCCTAAATGAACAGCAACTTTTCTACAGCTCAAACGTGTATCTCCATTAGCTGGGATGAATACAGACTATCAGTAAACTTGCACACTTCACATCAGGTTTTGCTGCCAAGTAAGTCTGTGCCAAAATGAGAAAAGCGCTTTTGTGGATTTGGAGATTGTGGATAAAGGCTGTGGCCCCCACTGGCCCTCTCGGCCCCCCTCTGCCCCTTACCCAGGCCTGAGGAGGAAGACACGCTCCCCGTCAGGGAAGAGGTTTCTGTCTGGTCCGTGGAGAGCCCCTCCATCAGAGGCAGGGACAGCTCGGACGAGGGCACAGACGAGTCATAGATGCCCGAGTCCCGGGGCATGTCCGAGGGGCTGGCGGCCTTCACCACGTGCAGCTGAGGCCGCAGGACGGAGCTGCCCTCGGGGCTGGTCCGGGCCTCCGTGTCTTCATCCAGGCCAAGATGCTGACTCCCGGACCGTGAGCGGGACAGCGCGGCCACCCCAATAACAGCCGCCTCGGCCTTCAGGCAAAAACTGCTCTCGGTCCCTGGTTTGCACATGACGTCGTTTAAAACCAAGCCCGAGTCAAACTTCTCCAGCGCTGGCTCCCGGGGGCGGAGGGGCGGAGGGTGGGAGGGGACGAACTGCTTCTCAAACCAGTCGGGCTCCTCGTCGATAAACTGGTGCATGTTGCAGATGGCGACGTAGAGGGACCGGCCCGCCTTGCTGCGGAAATAGTTCCGCCTGCTGACCTGGCCAGGGTAGGGCCCCGGCTCCTGGAGACGGTGGTCACGGGAGTGCAGGTGGAAACACAGCTGGGGAAGGTTGTCCATGAGCTTGTACTTGGTGCTCAGGTCCAGGATGCTGGGAACGTCGCCCTCACAGGAGTAATCGAAGTAGACGGCGATGAACTTGCCGAGCGCCCCGGCACTCGGCTTGGCCTGGCGTAGCTTCTCGGCGATGGCCGTCACAGCCACCAGGAAGAGCTCCCCTTTCCCCGCGCCTCTGCCGCCTCCCTTGTGCTTGTAGTTCTTCTTGTCCACAAAGTACTTCATGCCTTTGGAACAGACCACGATGGTGAACTGGGACTCGTGGATCTTCTGGATGACCCACTCTCTCTGCCCTTCTCGGCAGAGGCTCAAGTCCTCCCAAAGGTCCAGAGTCACCTGGGAAGAGAACAAAGAGTCTCATCTCACCTGTACAGCGTGCTCAGTAAGAGCCCAGAGAGCAGAAGGGCATGATCAAGAATGTTACAGGAAGGGCATAGCCTCCACCCCTCCACCGTTATTAGCACTGCTGCATGCGGACACCAGCCACCACTGCCTTCTGGGGTGACTGCCACACACCAGGCCCTCTGAGAAGGGGTTGCCATCCATCATGCAGGGTCATCTCAGTGTCAGGTCAGGTCATTACTTTACCATCCCCACCCTACAAGTGAGAGAAAGAAGCACGGAGCTTTCAGCAACCTGTCTAAGCCACACACTGCATGCGCCGCCCTCAAGGAACTCAGGGTGGTGGAAAGCTGGAAAATGGAGGAACCGGGGCTAGCGTGCCTGATGGGTGAGGCTGCCTGGTTTGGGGGGGGGGGCTAGATCTTGCAGAGAACAGCCCTTCTGGGAGGCTCTGAGAGGACATGGTGAGTGAGCCCTACGTGGGCTGGAAGATGGAGTACAGGCTTGGACGTCAGAGTCCCACAGTCCTAAATCCAGAGCGCACAACAGCACAAACAGCACCACCCCGTCCACCGTCACAGCCCGCCCCGGCGTCCATGCGGTTTACCAGCTGGTCACTGGCTGGTAAGGAGGGTGGTGGGTGAACTGCAGTAACGTGGTCATTCTGGTTAATTCCCTCGGGGGTGACCGACCGGCGTCCCCCTCCATGGCCTCACAGTCGTCTACAGAAGGACATGCCTGCAGACTTCAGCCAGAACACAGGGCATCTGGTGGGCTGGAGCAGGGTGGGGGCACCAGCAAAGAAAACCAGGCCCACGTGGGCCCCTCCAGAGGGCCTCACCTCTCACACCACTTTTATCTGATTCTGCTGACGTCTCTTGGAGACTATGCTGGCCTCTTTCCTTCTGCAATTCAGAAACTACTTTCCAACGGCTCTGCCTGAGCCGGCAGCCGTAGTCTCTTACAGGGGAAGGGCATTCTGGAAGGGCTCTGTCTTCCTCTGCTGCTCTAAGATGTTGCAAAAGGGAATAAAGCCCCCAGAATCCACCCACTTGCTGGAAAGAGCCCTGGACTGTCTACACTTTCCTTAATTCTGGCTAACATTATACACGTTAAAGGTTAAATGAAAATACATAAAGCTTTTTTTTTTTTTTTTTTGTAAATGTTCACATCTTTAACCCAGCAATTCCATTTCCAGGCAGCTATTCTTGGAAAACCATGACAAACGAGGTAAAAATTTATCTACTGAGATATTTAACATTTTGAGCTAACTCAATTACGGTGAACCAATATTATGGGTTGTGTGGCTATTAAAACTGCAGTTTATGTGGAACTGCTGGTACTGTAGGAAATTATGAGGTGAAGAGACAGAAAAACAAACAGAAAAGTACTCCAGTGAAGCCCAAATGTACAACTGAGTGCACGAGCGCATCTAACCCAAAGAAGACTGGCAGGAAAGACACCGAACATTAACCATCTGAAATCTTCCTCCTTCTCCAGGTTGGGATTAAAAACAAGGCACGTGTTTACTTGTCAGGCTTTTCTAGCATTTCCAAATTTTCCACAATAAGTCTTTCATTTATAATTGGAAAAGTTTTTTCCCCCTGAGGATAATTACTTACACAGCAGAGCAAACTGGGCTGTCTGTGACATCTGAAGACCACGAGCGCCACAGGCTAGAGTCTGCAGCTGCTTCTCGGCATGCTGATCTGCCAGCCTCACTGGTTCATTCCGGGAAACCTGGCCAGCCTTGTACAGACTTTTTTTTCTTGACACTAGGGGGCAGCCTCACCATGTGGAGAGGTTCTGAGAAACCTACCAGTGGGCAGTTTCAAAGCATGAATAACTTCCAGTTACATTTCTTACATTTCTAAGGGCGTGTGCTTTCCACTAGGGCTTCAGATTTAACTGTAAAAACTAATGCTATGACATTATAGAGAAGCTACATGTTAATAGCTGAACTCAAGAGAACAGCTGAGAAACCAGAGCTGACTGTCTGAGCACTTGGCACGTTTCTGTTTTCTGGGAGTCCGCCTTCCTGCCTCCTGGAGAATCTCTCTCCAGCCACTGTCCTCTTTCCCACAGGACTGTGTGACCCTCTCCACTGCTCTGTACCAGTCAATGGCCAAATGACCACACAAAGCCTTCATTAAACGTTCCTCCCTAGACCCCAAGACCCCCTACAGTGGCAGCCCCGTTTTCCATTCCTTCTTAGAAAAACTCCCCCCAAAATTGTCCAAACTTACTTCTTTACTTCCTGTTCTCTCTGACCCACTCCAGTGGGGCTTCTGTCTGGCACATGCTCACCAGTGGTCACATTCACGGGGCATGCTCCCAGAGGCCACCACTGGACACCATTCACACTTTCCCATGCCCCACACAGTTGTTTTAATGCTTAGGAAACTTCCTGCTAGCCCCCTGGGGCTTCTGAGCAGGAGTGTGGCAGGGTGACAGCGCCAGGAGACACTCAGTGCTGGCAACGGGCAGGGCAGACTGGAAGGGCGCCAAGGCTGCTCCCAACTGGGCACCTATGGTACCGGTCCAGGGCAGGGACCACCAAAAGGGCTGGAAGGCAAGGGCAGAGGACAGCGCATCGTCCTAGCCAGGGCCAAGAGACGAGACCAGATTCCACACCTCACAGCCGCAGAAGTCCTGCAGGAAGTACGCGAAGCACTGGACAACATTCACGTGGCTCTGGCCGTCTTTGCTGGAATAGCAGAGGAAGACCTTCGGCCGTGGCCGGAGCCTCTCTCTGGGGAGTGCGGCGGCGTACGCGGACGACTCTGAGCTCTCTTCATCTAAATGTGAATATATATTTTCTAAATTGAAAGAGAAGACAGGGTTGACACCCACGAGCAATGCTTCGTCCTATTCCCAAAGACTCAGGACACAAGGCTGTCTTGGAGACAGTCCTGCAGTCCCAGCTCACCAGCTCCATCATCTCTCGGCCATCACTGGGAATGGGGTGAGGATTTTTCTAGTGGAGCTACAGAGGACCAAAAATAGTTCTTAACTTTGAAACTGACCTTAGACAAGCCAAGAACGCTGCAGGGACCCACCCAGGTCGGCAGAGAGCGCACGGGACTGGGTCTTGAAGCCACGCACTTACAGAACCTACTAAGCATTGGCAGGGCTGACCTTTCTTCTTTTTTTTTTAACTTTTTATAATTGAGGTATAATTTATAAAGGATAAAGTGCATAAACCTTAGAAGTGCACAACTCAATGAACTGTTATATAAGTATGCGCCTGTTTAAGGGCCATCCAGATCACAGCATGAACACTGCCAGCACCCGGAGGCTCTCATGACACCTGACTTATACAATGATCAAACTTCACCTATACCCTTGCTGTTGTTCTTAGGTGCCATTGAGTCGACACCGACTCACAGTGACCCCATGTGTGCAGAGCAGAACTACTCCATAGGGTTTTCAAGGCTGTGATCTTTCAGCAGATCACCAGTCCCTTTTTCCAAGGTGCCTCTGGGTGGGCTCAAACCACCAACATTTTGGCCAGCAGTCGAAGGCTTCACCATTTGCGCTACACAGGGACACACCAACACTGGGACACACCTACACCCTATCACTTTAAACCAGCCGCCGTCGAGTTGACTGTGACTCGTGGCAACCACGTGTGTCACAGCGCAACTGTCCTCCATAGGTTTTCAATGACTGATTTTTTTAGAAGTAAATAAGGCCTTTCTTCCAAGGCACAGGTGGACTCAAACCTCCAATCTTTCGGTTAGCACCACCCAGGGACTGCTACTTAACCTTCAACTTCCTTTATGCCCTTTAATGTACTATTTTTTGCTGAATTTGAGAACAGAATTATACCTGGCTCCTGAGGTTCAAAACCAAATAATCTGATTCTGGGAAATTTTATGTTCTGTCCCTACTCAACTGCTGTTGGCTGCGCCAGCCGGGGAACTCACAGTGGGAGCTACGTGGCTTCCCAGACGCCCGCCCGGGACCCTGGGCGTGCCTCAGCCGGCAGGGGAACCAGCCTCCCTCTCTGTTGGCAGGGACCCCAGTCCTGCCTCTCCGGGGGGACATGCCACACAAAGAGATACCTTGTTGCTTCTTGCGACACATCACGGTGAAGAGCGTGGCAAACGCCGAGATGAGGACCAGCGGCACGGTGATGGCGACAGCTCGGATGGGCCCGGCCCACGGGGAGTGCGCTGAGGGATTTCAAAGGGGACGTGTCCACTTAGGCAGCGGAACAGGTTCAAAGAGAAAGGCTTTTCTTCCCCCCTTTTAAAACATAAGCCGTGTAACAGGTTCCAGGACCACTCAGCCACCTTTCTCTAGGATTCAACTGCTCATTTTTAAAGGGTTACTGAAAACAATTCAACAGTGAGAGTCGGCTGGTATAGTGAATACCTCGGAGTGAGAATTTTGCCGGAGGAAACCCCCCTCCCACTTTTCTTCTGAAGACAATCGACTAGTGATTTAGTCCCAGCGACTCACCCACCGCAGGGGCTTTGATCTTCCAGGCATAGACACCAGGGGGGACGCAAAGTCAGAGAGGATGGAACAACGTTTAAAAAGATAGAGGAGCCCAGTTTGGTGGGTTTTTTTCTTTTTTAACCCTTTCATGACCCAATTATTTTCTGCTTTGAATTTTTGGTTGATACCGTGTGTTTTCATTAATGGAAGCATGCTGAATCATTGAGTATGCCTGAATTTTTGGTAGGTATTGTGGATTTTTTTTTCTTGCCCCCTCTCACAAGCCTACCCTAAGTGTTTAGTGGTACATATGAAGTACCACTAATTATACCCCAGAGTCCCCACCGGGGTCTACTGGTACATGTGTAACAAATAAAAATTTTCAATATTTCTATTTTTCCTCCCCAAAATTCAGACACCTTATACAATACCCTGTAAAAACAGTCACGTGTGACACACGTCCATTTCTTTGGTTTCAAACAGTCATAAAAGCCCCTGCCTTGAGGCAGCACACCCTGTCAGCGGCACAGCAGCTCCCCAATAAAGCAGGAAAGGGTTAAATCACAAAGTATAAAAAGTATTGGACACCTTGGTCTATTGAGGTCTAGAGCCGAAATTTCAAACAAAAACATCTTTACCTGGCTTTAAGGCATAATGCATGACTTTTCTGGTGGTGTTCATGTCGTCCACCAGCTGGAAAACAGAGAATGCTTTAATATGTTTCCTTAAAGTGATAGCACCTCACCAGTTTTGTCTTCCAGGCAAGTGGAGAAAAAAATGGTGATTTCATTCATTTTTCCATCTGTGGGCGGTGGGGGGCAGGGTGAAGGAGAACAGGGGTCAGGGAGAGAAGGACTGCCGTGAAGAATGTTTGCTGGGGCCGCTAATCATTCACAAGGCTGAGACTAGGCGTGACGCGTACTCAGGTACACCTCTGCTTTACCAATTCAAGGCTCTAAAATTCATCATGTCTCCTTTAAGGAATCAAAAGGCTGTTTATTCATTGAAGAATCTGGCCAGTCATTCCCATGTCCTAACAATTTCCAGTGAAAATGGAGTCCCACTGCTGATTTTACCGGGCCTTCGCTAATGCCTGGCACAAACAGTTTTTGATGGGCAGCTAACTGAAAGGTTGGCAGTTTGAACCTACACAGCTGTATCACGGAAGAAAGGCCTGGTGATCTGTCTCCATAAAGATCACTGCCAAGAAAACCTTATGGAGCCATTCTACTCTGTAACACATGGGGTCATCATGAGTCGGAATCAACTCAACAGCAATGGGTTTGAGTTTTGGTTTATTAAAACCTTAAGAAGGCGTGCCAGTTCAAAACCACGAACTGCTGCTACAGGTAATGCAAAGACTAGGTGTTTCTATCAAAATGCTAAGACATGTTGGTTGCCTTTTAGCAGTGGGATTATGGACAAATTTTTAATTTCCCTTCCTATTTTTCTTTTACTCCTATTTTTGTAATACTTATCTTGATATTGGGAAAGTAAAATAAAAGGAAAAGAAAGTATTATTTATATGCACTTTGGTCTTTAGGACTCATGTATATTTATACAGAGGAAGATCATTAGAAGCCCTGCAGAAGTATATGCAGTTGTGATGGATATAACTTTTGCTTTGCTATTTTAATACTAAAACAAAACTTTATACAGCTAAAAAATTTTTTTAAACCCTACTGTAGTATGAAGGAATATTATATAGCTATTTTAAATCATGAGTACATGAATTACATTGCTACATAAAAATATTTATTTGAAATAAATTACGTACAAGCTATAAAAAAAAAAAAAGCATGTTTGTTAAGAGCCACTTTAAGAATATAACCACAAAAATATAACTGTCCACACCTTCAAAGGCTTGAAATTTTGATGTTGTAAACAGTTGGGATTCTGAACTGGATCTGTTCTCTAGAGTTAATAGTAGGGCTTTCTTGAGTCATATTTACCTCAATTATATAATCCCCGGGAGAGACATTTTGAAGGAGACAGCTGGTTGCGTCTGTATTTCGCTCCTGCAGAGAAACAAACAACATTTTAAGACTCGATTTTGGGATCAAGATCATCAGGAGCTGAAGGAGCCTTGCCGCCGGCCTCGACCACATTTTCCCAAAGATACCAACTCAGTCAGAAACCAACTGTGTTATCCGAACTTCACTTTGACAAAAGGCCCAGGAGTACCCTGGACCCCAGTCATATTCTACACTCTACTGCTGGTGACTTCAGCAGGAATATTTGATCTGAAGACAAGGAAAACTAGTTAAAATACTCCCTACGTAATAAAAGGGTGGGGAACGAAACTACCAGTGTGTATTGGGGGGGCTGGGGGAGACCTGGTGGCACAGTGGTTAAGCAGTCTGCTGCTAACCGAAAAATCAGCAGTTCGAACCCACCAGCCGCTCCATGGGAGAAAGATGTGGCAGCCTGCTTCCGTAAAGATTACAGCCTAGGAAACCCTATGGGCAGCCCTACTCTGTCCTATGCGGTTGCTATGAGTCGGAACCCACTCAACAGCAACAAGCATGTATGCATGTATTTTTTCATAATTTTAGCTTGGGCAGAAGGTCAAAGAAGGTCAATGACAAAAGAGCCAATGAGAGAGCAAAACTATGACAGAACCCAGCACACTCATGGGCAAGTTTTGGAGGGCACTGGGCTCGGCCACCACATCAAAACCTCTCAGCACCTGTAGGGGGCCATCTGACAGTCCTGTGAACTCCGGGGAACATTTCCCCACTCTGACTGCCTTCAGTTTAAGGACCTGGCTACTGAGTTTCTATTCGTCCGTAGCCCATGTGGAATATAAAAGCAGCAACAGAATTGCTAATGGCTTGGCTTCTAGAACTGTCTTTTCCACGTACAAGCTGTGTAACCTTGAGCACGTCAAGTGACCTCCCTGAGCCTCAGGCTTCCCATTTGTAAAGTGGGGACAAGAGCAGCCTCGGTTTTGGAGAGTTGTGCAGATTTGACAAGCGCAAAGCTTCGTGCCTGGCACACAGCAAGCACCTGGCTAGTGTTTAAAATAAATGGGGAACAAACTAGGCATATTTCATTATTTTGGTTCCTTGACAATACTTTTATCATGTTCTATCACTACTGGGGCAGTTGGGGGTCGACAGCTAGGGAACAAGGGATGGTAAGGCAGCCCGAACACATGCCTAGTAGTAACATCCTGGAGTACCTGCTGACCCCGAGCGCCATCATGCTGAGCCGTCCAAATTCCAGTGGGTATTTTAAAGTACGTGGTGTTCCTTCACGCACGCTTAGTGGCTCACCTGTCTACAGGTCTTTCGCTTAAAGAGTCCTTCGTGCTTGAGCTTGTAATGAAGATAGAAGAAGCGGAAGCCGAAGTTGTGGGGTGCATGGTCGAAGGTCACCTGCATGTCCGATCCATGCTGGGTGATGTTCAGGTTCCGAGGCTTCCAGACTGGCAGGAGGAAGGAGCACGGTGAGCACCCAGAGGCCACCCCGACCCCATCCCCAGGGCAGCACAGTGAGGCCTGACAGATACAAACAGCTATACTCACAGGGTTTGCAGGCCAGGTTGTCCGGCTGCAGCAAGAGGTCACATGCTGTTAAGAGAAAAACATACTTCTAGTTTTAGGATAGTTGGAGATTTTCCTCCTCCGATAATATTATAAAATAAAAATCTACAATGCTGGGTGCTGCTGGAAGGGAATAAAATACATCGATCCAATAATGAGGCATAGTACAGTGCAACTGTGCCCTAGGAAAATCTGAAACGGTACAATATAAAAATATCAGCGCAGTCTTACTTTATGCCAAAGAAATGGAAACAGCGTAACACAGCCCAGGTTTAAAAAGCTTGTCAAGCCTTACATAGTTTCAAATCTGGCGGCCAAGCGCAATGGGACTGTATCTGTGCTACTGTTCCTTGGAGGCTGTGTTCAGCTGTAAACAGGAACAACTAGGCTCCTACCCCCTTGTGAAGGAACCCTGCTGGTACAGTGGTTTAGCATTTGACTTCTAACTGAAAGGTCAGTGGTTCAAATCCACCGGTGGCACTGCGGGAGAAAGATGTGGCAGTCTGCTTCCGTAAAGATTACAGCCTTGGAAACCCTACATGGCAGTTCTACTCTGTCTTATCAGGTCGCTTTGAGTCAGAATCGACTCCACGGCAGTGGGTTTTAGGGACCCCATTGTGGTCTGTGTTTAGTGGGTACAGGAGAGCCTCAGAGTTATTTGAACCTTCACTGATGTTCTAATTTAAAATGCTTTTTTATGGAGCCTAAAAACAGCATCCAGGCATCTACTCAACAGTAGTTCCAGTGCTGAAAACCAGATGCAAAGCCAGTATCTTTGAAACAGGACTTGAACGGCATAGAACACAATGAAAGAGAGCAGACAACTGGTCCACACACCGCATTAGCAATGCACTGCTGACCTAAGGAGACCGCTCTGGGAAACGTCCATATACTGCCAAGAAAACCAAACACAACATTAAAGCCACTGTGTACTGAAAGGGTGATAAATGCCTGTGTTCCTGGAACACCCCCCTCCTCCTCACTCTCCGATGGACACATCGATCCCAATGGGAAAGATTAATCTTAAATTATGCCAGCTTTGATTTAGGAGAGATTTTGATAAACACATTCTTTGAATCCTCTGCTTATTATGTGTAAGACATCAAGAGACATTGTGAAATGCACATGGATCTTAGCCATATGGAATATTTTTTTCATGTGTTTTTTTTTATTATTGTGGTAAGTACATACATAACAAAAAATTTCCCAGTTCAACATTTTTCAGCATGTACAATTCAGTGATATTAATTACATTCATCATGTTTCGCAACCATCACCACTATCTGTTTTCAAATTTTTCCATCGCCCTTAAAAGAAACTCAGTGGCGCCTAGGCAATGACTCCTTCTTTCTGCCTCCTCCCATCCCTGGTAACCACTCACAAACTTTGGTCTCTAGCATTTGCCTATTCTAGGTATTTCAGATAAGTGGAATCATACAGTATTTGTCCTTTGGTGCCTGGCTGATTTCACGCAGCACAATGTTTTCCAGGTTCATTCATATCATGGCATGTATCAGTACTTCATTTTTCTTTGTGGCTGAGTAATGTTCCATTGTCGACTCAGATTTTAATGAAGAAAATGAGACCAATTGTTATCAAACAACTATGCTGCACGGACAACTGCCACCACGAGAATTCAGCAAACGGAAACACTAACGCAGGCTGGAGGTGAGAACGAAAACATCACCCAGGACAAGAGCACCAGCTGACCACAAAGGAGGAAGGCTCGAGTGGACCGACAGCTGGCCACCAAGGTCTGGAGCACCAGACAGAAAGTTCAACAAGGAAGGCAAGAGATAGTGCTGCAGGTTTCAGGGTGACAACCACCAAGTTTGAAAGCGGCGATTCAGGGAGATCAAACACACCACACGCAGAACAAGGAGCCCTGGTAGAACAATGGTTAAGCTCTCAGCTGCTAACTGAAAGGTTTGTGGTTCAAATTCACCCAGTGGCTCCACGGGAGAAAGACCTGGTGATCTCCTTCCGTAAAGACTACAGCCTAGAAAACCCAGTGGGGCAGTTCTACTCTGTCATACAGGGTCGCTGTGAGTCGAAACTGGCTCAGCAACGTTTAACAACAACATATACAGAACAGACTGGCACGGTGAGCGAGCAACTGCGAACCCAGCATGGTTTAAGGGTGTGGATTCCAGAATCAGACTCCTGAGGTTCAATCCCGGCTCTGGGCAAGCCCGTTAACCTCTCTGTGTATGAGTCCACCTCTGCTAAGTGGGGATGATGAGATTAAATTCTTTGCAGGATTATTATGGGGGGAAGGGAAGTGGAGTTTTTAGAGCATTTAGAACAGGGACTGGCATACAGTACATGTTACGTAAGGAAAACTTTGTAGCAAGAGGTGGTCTTGGGAATACTGGCTATTTTTCTTAGTCTAATCCTGACAATAGCAGGCAACTATGCAGAGCCCACCTTCCTGCTGACAGGTAGAGACGGAATCATCTCACAATCCCACCTTTTTCCCAAAATCAACTCATTCCTAGTTTTTGAGCAATATTTTGATACCTGGTTATCTTAATGGTGGTAACAGCATTCTCAAAAAATCATCCGTCAGTTCTGTTCTAGAACAAGGCAGGAGTGGGTGTCTCTGGTGAGATCAACAGCGACTGGGCCAAACCCTGCAGCCTTGGTGCCACAGTGGTTAAGAGCTGGGCTGCTAACCAAAAGGTCAGCAGTTCGAATCCACCAGCTACTTCTTGGAAACCCCATGGAGCACTTCTACTCTGTCCTAGAGGGTCATTATGTGTCAGAATCGACTCGACAGCAATAGGTTTGGTTTTGGGTTTTTTGGGCCAAACCTTAATCCTAAAAATTGCTTCTCTGGATACAAGGAACTCCCAACAGGCTTGTTTCACACCAGTCTTTGGTGTGCTCTTGAACAAAACTTCCTTAAAAAATCATTAAAAGCAGGAGAGAAGTTTCCTCATGGGAACCAGGCAGGACAGACCATACTCACCACGGGTTCTGAAGAAGAAGGGGTGATAATTGCTTTCATTTTTAATGGAAGGAAAAGGGACAATCTTTACAAAGTAATCCGTTTCAAATTTCATATTCAGGAAAGGTTGAGATTCCATTCCCTAAAAGGGAACAAAAACACATGCGACATCATGGAGAAATTACCCACCCCTCCATCGTACCTGAGACCTCCGTTCCCGCCCCTGCAGTCCCTCAGACACGTATCAGAGCCGAGGGACAAGCCCGCAGAGGGAGGAAGGCAGGTCTACTGTCAGACCAGTTTGAGGCTGAGCTCTCTAACTTAAAACAGAAACAACAATCCACAATGCTATCTGTTCTTTGGCGAGAAAGCCGTGGCTTATTAACATCAGACCTCAGAGCTGGCGCGGAGGGACCCCACTCCTCAGAGCACAAAGACACCTTCTAGGATGACTGTGTAACCAGAAGTGCATGTTTACCACAGAGGGGTGCTGAGGAGATCCCCTGGGAGTGGGCAGCAGGCTTGCAGTGTCACCCGTCCTTCTCGCCCACCTTGGTGGGCGGTGTGCACCCCACAGCCCTTCCTTCTCCAATTTCACAGACTTTCAATAGACCATTCAAACCCCCAGAACAATGTGTGTCTTCAGGGGTTCACTCCCTGCGTGTGACTTACAGTTCTTTTGAAGCTGCTGTTGAGCTGCTTCGGGTCCTTTAGAATCAGTTGTTGGCACTGTCTTCCCTCTGACTTCAGCTCTTCTAGTATTACCCGAAATCCTTTCAGGAATTCAATGCCTAAGCAAAGCAGAATGCTTTTATTAAAAATGCACCTAATTACTTCTGAACATACTTTCCTTCCTCCAAGCTTATCCAGCCTCCCCCACCTACCCAGCCAAGTGAAAGGCATTCTTACTCTGCCTGAGTATCTGAGTTTATATAAAGGAAAAACGCATACTCTGCATTCCTCTGGGACCCACCAGGTGATTTTCTGTTCCACCATCACTAATTAATCTCTAACCCAGCTGGCCGTTTCACCGATGTCTGCTTAGAGAAGCGAAATGATTTGCCTTGGGTCACACAAGAATTAAATGACAGAGGTGGGATTCGAACCCAGCAGTGTCTGACTCAAAGGGTTCAAATATTTCAACTCAAGTCATTAACTGACCGTAAAGCTCTGTGGTGGAACAGATAATTTCTAGGTCATTAAACAGGCTGCATTCAGCTGATGATAACTGACAGTGTGGACTAGCGAATCCCCTAAACCGTGTTTCCACTTTAAGTTTTATCCCCACATTTGTTGGCATGTTTCACTGACCGACATGTGAAATTCCTTCCACCTGTGTGTGCACCCAAGCGGTTCCTAGGCTTGAGATTAGTTTAGGAGAATGCCTATGTGATGTTCAAAGCGGTTCGTGCTCTAATCACACCAGAAAGGCAGACACCCAAGAACCGTCCAGCGTGTGCAATTCATACAGCCCGGAGGCTCCGACACCCACAGTGCAGGCGAAAGGCGACAGCCCAGCCTCTTGCCACCTGAGCCTCCCCGCTGCACATCCCACTAGACCCTTTCAAAAGGATTAAGCTCTGATGGCCACGAGAGCCAGCACCAGGCTCTGTATCCCATGGAGACTGGAGTGGTCCAGCTGCAGATGGAGAGCCCCAAAGCCAGCCTCAATCGGCGCGATATCAATTTCACATTCTTTCTGAACACTAGACAAGCAGTCGTTTTCAACCCTTCCCCCGTCGCAAAGCAAAGTAATTGCACAGGATGCAATTAACCAGGTGGGAAAATTATTGATGGCAAAGGCCAGGGAACTCTTTCCAATCAACTCTCCAATCCTGTAATTATATGGTGACGAGCATGTATTTTATGGGGGGCGGGACAGAGGAGCAACAGCTAGAGCTTCATTTGAGGGGTTCAGAGTATTACAGTGCATGGGGACCAACTTCCATCACGTGTTCCAATGACAAAGGTCCCTGTAGGGGTGGCAGCCAGCTGATCCACAGCCAGATTTGGACATGATGACAAGATACAAGGCCTTTCAGGCAGCAGTTATTTAGTAGATCTCACAGGAACGTGCCTCTTGAGATTAAAAATAAAAGATTTCTGAAAAAGTCCTTAGTATCTATACTCAGATTTAATTCACACAAAGTCTCCAAAACTACTGTTTAACAAAAGCCAGGTAATTAATATGATAAAATACCACTAAAAAAAAAAAAACCCAAACCCATTGCCATTGAGTTGATTCCAACTCATAGTGTCCTACAGGACAGGGAAGAATTGCCTCACCATCCAGGCTGTAACTGTTATGGAAGCAGACCACTACATTATTCTCCTGCAGAGCGGCTGATGGGTTCAAACCATCGATCTTTTGGTTATCAGTCAAGTGCTTAATCACTGCGCCACCAGGATTCCTTACAAAAAAACATACCAAAAAACCCAAACCCACTGTCGTCAAGTTGATCCTTATAAAAGAGCATACCAAAAAAACTCAGTGTCGTCAAGTCGATTCCGACTCATAGAGACCCTATAGGACAGAGTAGAACTGCCCCATAGTGTTTCTAAGGCTGTAAATCTTTACGGAAGCAGACTGCCACATCTTTGTCCTGTGGAGGGACTGATGAATTCGAATCACCGACCTTTCAGTCAGCCAAACGCTTTAACCACTGCGCCATCAGGGCTCCTTTTATAAAAGACCAAAACCAAACCCGTTGTCATCATACGTCTCACAAATTCATCAGCTTGGGTGGCAATGGGTGGTTCTATTCTTTGTTTCTAAAAGACCAGTCTGAAAAATCACTACACCAAGTCTGGTGGTCGGAGTAGCGGCAGAAAATGTAATTCCTGTATCATATCACAGTGACAACATTTATCACAGTATCAATGACTTCTGGTTATATAATGGTCAACAGTTTCACAGAGTAGCTTGCCATGAAGGAACTAGTTTGCTCCTTCCCATCATTAAGTCATTAATCCTCTGAACAGCCATAGGATAAAGAGATTACTATCCCCATTTTACAGAGGAGAAAATAGAATGTGAAAGAGCACTCTAAAACTGAGGCGCCTGACATAACTAAAATGGCTGACACAGGTCTGGGTCAGACTCCCTTTCGTCCTAGGCCCTGCTTCTGCTTTTAGAGTCCATGACCCATAACCACACTCTCAACCAAGATAACTTATTCTGCAACATTCTGAGGTGACCTATCCAGAACACTGCGGGAAACAGAAGGAAGAAGCTCCAGAATGCAGGAAACTGTAGCTAAGCATGAGTACCCCAGCCAATAGAAACTCTTGAGAAATGAGTCTTAAGACAGCATGTGGAACATCAACCAATCAAACACACCCCCGTACTCCTCCCATCTCCGTACAGAGTTCTGCAAATCTGAGTATAAAAGACATGCACTCATGCCCCCTCCTCAGAACGCCATTAGAACTTTCATTTTGGCGCTTCCTGATTTGCAAATCTTTGAATCTGAATAAAACTCTTATTTTATAGAAACTGTCTTACTTTAATCATGAGGTTTAGAGAAGCTAAATGATTTGTCTTGGGTCATACAGGAATTAAATGACAGAGGTGGGATTCGAACCCAGGAGTGTCTGGCTCAAAGTCGGTGCTCTTAACCCACATTTCTCTGCCTCCCAAAGAAACTGACAGAACATGTCCAGTCACTCTGACCCACAGATCATCTTCCAGGAAAAGCAGGCATCTGCCTTCACTGTACCAGATGTCAGCTCTTCTACCACCAGCTCACACCTCTTATTTTAATTTTAAGGAGGTGTTATGGATTGAATTGTGTCCCACTAAATTATGTGTTGGAATCCTAAACCCTAGACCTGTGGATGTAATCCTGTTTGGGAATAGTTTTCTGTTATATTAATGAGGCCATATCAGTGTAGGGTGGGTCCTAACCCTAATCACTTCTGAGTAGCACAGGCAAGACTCAAAATGAGAAAAAAACAGCTGCAAATATCCATTTGTAACTAGAATGTGGAATGTACGAAGTATGAATCTAGGAAAATTTGAAACTGTCAAAAATGAAATGGAACACTTGAAGATCAATATCCTAGGCATTAATCAGCTGAAATGGACTGGTACTGGCCATTCTGAATCAGACAACCATATGGTCTACTATGCTGGGAATGACAAATTGAAGAGGAATGGTGTCACATTCACTGTCAAAAAGAATATTTCAAGATCTATCCTGAAGTACAACGTGGTCAGTGATAGGATAACATCCACACGCCTACAAGGAATACTAGTTAATACAACTATCACTCAGATTTAAACACCAGGCACTAATGCCACAGATGAAGAAACTGAAGATTTTTACCAACTTCTGCAGTCTGAAATTGACCAAGCACGCAATCAAGATGCCTTGATAGTCACTGGTGATTGGAATGCAAAAGTTGGAAACGAAGATCAGCAGCTGGAAAATATGGCCTTGGTGATAGAAATAATGGCAGAGATTGTATGATAGAATTTTGCAAGACCAACAACCTATTCATTGGAAATACCTTTTTTCAACAACATAAATGGCGACTATACACGTGGACCTCTCCGGATGGAAAACACAGGAATCAAATCCACTACATCTGTGGGAAGAGACAATGGAGAAGCTCAATATTATCAGTCAGAAAAAGGCCAGGGGCTGACTGTGGAACATACCATCAATTGCTCACATGAAAGTTTAAGGTGAAGCTGAAGAAAACTAAAACAAGTCCATGAGAGCCAAAATTTAGAGACCATTGCAAGAACAGATTTGACACACTGAACACTTATGACCGAACACCACATGAGTTGTGGGGTGACATCAAGGACGTCATACATGAAGAAAGCAAAAGGTCATTAAAAAGACAGGAAAGGAAGAAAAGACCGAAATGGATGTCAGAAGAGACTCTGAAACTTGCTCTTCAACATACAGTAGCTAAAGGAAATGGAAGAAATGATGAAGTAAAAGAGCTGAACAGAAGATTTCAAGGGTGGCTCAAGAAGATAAAGAGAAGTATAATGAAATGTGCGAAGACCTGTAGTTAGAAAACCAAAAGGGAAGAACATGGTTGGCATTTCTCAAGCTGAAAAAACTGTAGAAAAAATTCAAGCCTCAAGTTGCAATAATGAAGGATTCTACAGGCAAAATATTGAAAAACGCAGGAAACATCTGTTATGGTTTGAATTATGTCCCCCCAAAAATGTGTGTATCAATTTGGCTGGGCCATGACTCCCGGAATTGTGTGGTTGGCCTCCATTTTGTGATTGTAATTTTATGTCGAAGAGGATTAGAGTGGGATTGTAACACTACCCTTACCCAGGTCACATCCCTGATCCAATGTAAAGGGAGTTTCCCTAGGGTGTGGCCTGCACCACCTTTTACCTTACAAAAGATAAAAGGAAAGGGAAGCAAACAGAGAATTGGGGACCTCATACTACCAAGAAAGCAATGCCAGGAGCAGAGCGTGTCCTTTGGACCTGGGGTCCCTGTGCGGAGAAGCTCCTAGTCTGGGGGAACACCGAAAAGAAGAAGGCCGACAGAGAGAAAAAGCCTTCCCCTGGAGCTGATGCCCTGAATTTGGACTTTTAGCCTACTTTGACTGTGAGGAAATAAACTTCTCTTCGTTAAAACCGTCCACTTGTGGTATTTCTGTTATAGCAGCACTAGATGACTAAGACAACATCTAAAGAAGATGGAAGGAATATACAGAGTCACTGTACCAAAAAGAACTGGTCAATTTTCAACCATTTTAGGAGGTAGCATATGATCAAGAACTGACGGTAATGAAGGAAGAAGTGCAAGCTGCACTAAAAGGCACTGATAAAAAACAAGCCTCCAGCAACAGGTGGAATACCACTGAGATGCTTCAACAAACAGACGCAGCGCTGGAAGTGCTCACTCATTTATGCCAAGAAATTTGGAAGAGAGCTACCTGGCCAACCGACTGGAAGAGATCCATATTTGTGTCCATCCCAAAGAAAGGTGATACAATAGAATGTGGAAATTATCGAGCAGTATCATTAATATTACATACAAGTAAAATTTTTTGGAAGATAATTCAAAAAGGTTGCAGCAGTACATCAAAAGAGGAATTGCCAGAAATTCAAGCCAGATTCAGAAGAGGCCGTGGAATGAAGGGTATCATTGCTAGTGTTAGATCAATCTTGGCCGAAAGCAGAGAATACCAGAAAGATGTTTACCTGTGTTTTATTGACTATGCAAAGGCATTTGACTGTGTGAATCATAACAAATTATGGGTAACATTGCGAAGAATGGGAATCACAGAACACTGAATTGTACTCATGCGGAACCTGCATACATAGATCAACAGGCAGTCTTTGGAACAGAACAAGGGAATACTGTGTGGTTTAAAAAGAGGGAAGGTGTGAGTCAGGGTTGTTTCCTTTCACCATATTTATTCAATCTATATGCTGAGGAAATAATCCAAGAAGCTGGACTATATATAAAGAAAAATGTGGCATCAGGATTGGAGGAAGACTGATTAACAACCTGTATTATGCAGAGGACACAACCTTGCTGCTGAAAGTGGAAAGGACTTGAAGCCCTGATGAAGATCAAAGACCACAGCCTTCAGTAAGGATTACACCTCAACTTAAAGAAAACAAAAATCGCCACAACTTGACCAATAAGCAACATCATGATCAATGGAGAAAAGACTGAAGTTGTCAAAGTTTCATTTTACTTGGATCCACAATCTACATCCATGGAAGCAGCAGTCAAGCAATCAGACAACATATTGCACTGGGCAAACCTACTGCAAAGACTTTTTTAAGTGTTAAAAAGCAAAGATGTCACTTTGAGAACTAAGGTGCACCTGACCCAAGCCATGGTATTTACAATCGCCTCATATGCATGCAAAAGCTGGGCAATGAATAAGGAAGACCGAAGAAAAACTGACGCATAGGAATTATGGTATTGGCGAACAATATTGAATATACCGTGGACTGCCAGAAGAACGAACAAATCTGTCTTGGAAGAAGTACAGCCTGAATGCTCCTTAGAAGCGAGAATGGCAAGATTTTGTCTTATGTACTTTGGACATGTTACCAGGAGGGACCAGTCCCTGGAGAAGGACATCATGCTTGGTAAAGTAGAAGGTCAGCGAAAAAGACGAAGACCCTCAATGAGATGGACTGACACAGTGGCTGCAACAATAGGCTTAAGCGTAACAACCACTGTGAGGACGGCACAGGACCGGGTAGGGTTTCGTTCCATTGTACGCAGGGTCGCTATGGGTCAGAACCGACTGGATGGCACCTAACAACAACAACGGGCACAGAGACAGGCAAGGAGACACAAGGGGAAAACGGACACTATCTAAAGACAACAGGCAGATGAATCTACAAGCCCAGGAACCCTAAGGATTGTCGGCAGCTACTGGAAGCTGAAGTAAACAAAGGACCTCCACCTAGAGCCACACCCTGAATTTGGCTGCCAACCTAAAGGTTAGCAGTTGAACCTATCCAGTGGCTCTGAGGGAGAAAGACTTGGCGATCTGCTCCCTAAAGATTATCGCCTACAAAACCCCTATGGGGCAGTTCTACTCTCAGATACGGTCTACGCTGTGCCAGACTCCGTCACGTGAGGTCACTCTGCGTTGAGACCAGATGGCAGCTAATAACAACAATCACAATAGCCTCCTAAACTGTGCTAACCTAACCGTCTGTTTTTAAAAGCCAGCCACAGTATTTCCGCCACAGCAGCATGAGGAAACTTGAGAGAGGAGGGAACCTGCAGTTTGCCAGGTAACCTCCTTACACATTTAGCCTGGGTGGAGTGGCCACTTCCCTTCTGTCCACAGAGAATGTTTTAATCTTTAAATGTTAAGACAATATTGTTTTTGGAAAACCCACTGGGTTCAGATCCAGCAGTATTTACGTGGAAAAGCGAGCTGCGTCAAGTTCCGCTCCATCCCCTCTCCCCACGCTCACCCCTCCTGCAATCTGGTTCTTCCAAGATTTCGCCCGTTCAGATTAAGAAATTCAGACTTCATTTGACTTGTCCCTTTGCCAGATTTTTTTTTTTTTTTTTTTTAATTCTAAGGCTGGATGACAAGGTCAATGGGGCAGGCCTGAGAACCAGGTTCTGGTGACAATGACAGCCACTATTTTGAAGAACTCTCTCTAGAAACATTCTGTGGGTGTGTCTCCAATTCTTGCAGCAAACCAAGAAGCAGTATCATCCCCGTTTTACAGATGGGGTAACTGGGGCTCAGAGTTATCATCTCCATCTTACAGATGGGAAAAGGGGGGCTCCAAGAGGCTTAAATGCCTCTTGTAAGTGGAGCACGGGTTCAAACGGAGCCCATTTGAACCAAATGCCTGGCTTGTCCTCAAGGTACCATCCCCATGCCCCTTCCCCTCCTCCCTATCATCATTTCAATGAAGAGGGCAGACTCAGTCCTAAGCTCAGTCTGCTCAGATAATGTGAGCTTGCTTTCATCTGTTTCTTTGTTTTGGTTTAGTTTGCTTTGGGTCCACACAGTTCTTACAAATTTCAATTAGTTGCCAACATTTAAAAATTGGTTGGTTTCACATGAACACTGGGATTTTTCTGAAAAATCACGAAACATGCCAATGCCGGGTCTGCACTTCCGTGAGGCCACAGAGAGCACCATCAAGGACGCTGAGGCCACTGCGCCCCAGATGATCACATGTTCCCCAGGTTACTACCATCTCCCCTTCCCCACCCCACTGCTGACACACAGCGGCCAAGGCCCAGTGCCATTTCTCACTGACACACTGTTACTTTTCACACCCAGGGTTCTCTCAGGAACAGCTAAGGAAACAAAGACACGCCACGGGGGAGGAGCATCAAGCTGTGTGTGTCCCCAGCGAGTGTGTGCAGCAAAGCACTAAGTGTGTCTGTACCCAACCCAAGCTTCACTCACACACAGACTGCCCGGCCCCTGGAGGCCGTCACATCTGGGACCCTCACACTGGGCTCTACTCACCCAGGCCACCTCGGGGGACTCAATTTACGACCACTTACCGAGGGCCCCTGGGGACCAAAGTATGGTGACGGCCACTTGGTCGTGGCAAGCGTACTGACTGATGGTGATGTTCTGGGCGTCGGCAATCACGTGCTTCCCCACCAGGTTCAAGTAAGTGGTGCAGTCTGGAAAGGCGGGAGATGAGAACGGAGACATTTTATATATATTTTTATTTCCAAGTTCATTTTCGCAAATTACACAGCAAGGTTTGAAAGCGGCCCATCCATTTTGCTGAGAGAGGTGTGTTTCAAAAGCCCAAAGATGACATCAAAGATTGACTGGAAAAATCATAAGGGTGCTTCAGTTGGATTTATAGCACATATACCCCTATCCCCTCAAACCAAACCAAACCAAACCCATTGCTGCCAAGTCGATTCTGACTCATAGCGACCCTATAGGACAGAGTAGGACTGTCCCACAGGGTTTCCAAGGAATGGCTGGTGGATTCAAACTGCCGACCTTTTGGTTAGCAGCCGAGCTCTTAACCACTGTTCTACCAGGGCTCCCCCACCCCCACCTCGGGTTAAGTCCCAGGACAGTTTTAAGAGGATCATACACAATCTCTGAAGTTTGTATATCTGGCATTAACTTTTTTTCATTATTATGACATTTTGCCTAAACCAGGAATTATTTACATTGACTCACCAGTTTTTCGTATTACAGAGTGATTTGAAACAATGGCAAAAGAATCTAGGCTTTGTTTGCTTGCTTATTTGTTTTAAGAAGAAAACTAGAGGGTGAGGTGACTGCAGAACAGGAACGAATGTGAGGATGTGAATCCACAGGGCAGTGATTTGAAGCAAGACCATTGTAAGAACCCAATCAGTACCTGCAAGAGATAATGGCGCAGACATCTGCTAAAAACCTTGGGACTTAGCCATAAGCTAGGTGCCTTCAACATTAACTAGCATTGTCAAAGGTAAATCTTTTGTTCTGAAACACCATGTATCATCAAAGACACCCACAGCACCCACTAAATCTAAGGAGCTCCACACTGCTTAAAAAACAAAAACCACCTGATTCTTTGATTTTGTCTGAGGACGTTACTCACTGCCACCTGTCAACGAAGCCACGTCCACGGGAGCAGCTGCGACACCTGGAAGTGCTATGCACACCTTCAAAGTCTGCAGGGTCCTACAAAGCTGCCAGAAGCTTCCAGCTGGAATGGGGCTGGGACTTCAGAGAGTGGCCACTAGTGCAGAAAGAAGTACCGACCATGGCACAAGTCCTCATCAGCTGCTTCACCTGTCTCCTCAATGATTGAGCTTCAACGCTCCCTTCAGGACCTGCTGTAAAACGCCTTCAGTTCCACCACATGCCCAAACCTGCCCACTACCCCTGCGAAGGGAAGAAGCGTTCAGGGACATTTTCTAGGAAGCTCAGTGATTCTGCCGCCTTGAACTCCCCCCGTAAACTGTGCCGCACGCTTCCCACATTTATGACTAAACACGTTCGCTGGAGGTATCTGAAAACCCCAAAATAACGTAAGACAAACTTAAGTCATTTATAACCTCTCATCACAGAGGTTAACTGCTAGTAACATTCTAGCGGACACCCTCCCGAGCCTTTTAAAGTGCACACAATATTCCTCCTTTTTAATTTTTTTTATAATTTTATTGTCACTGTTGTTGTTGTTGAGAATATACACAGCATAACATACACCAATTCAACAGTTTCTACACGTACAATCCAGTGACATTAATTACGTTCTTCAAGTTGCGCAACCATTCTCACCCTCCTTTTCCGAGTTGTTCGTCCCTCACTAACATGAACTCACTGCTGCCTGAGGTTCCTTCAGGTCAGAAAGGAGCCCAGGTGGTGCAGTTTGTGTTCCTCTACCGACCTAAAGGTGGGTGGTTCTAATCTTCTGAGTTACTGCTGTCCATTTGATCCCATATAGACAGTTCGTAAAAGAGCATAATGCTCATTGCAGACATTCTTAACTAGTTAAGTTAAACTACTGTTTGGTTTAAGGGCCCTGGTGGTGCGGTGGTTAAGGGCTCAGCGGCTAACCAAAGGTCGACAGCTTGAACCCACCAGCTGCTCTGAGGGAGAAGGATGTGGCAGTCTGCTTCTGTGAAGATTTACAGCTTTGGAAACCGTGTGGGGCAGCTCTGCTCCGTCTTATAGGGTCGCTGTGAGTTGAAATTGACTCCATGGCAACAGGTTTGTTTTTTTTTTTAATTGTTTGGTTTTAAGAAGACTTCAGGGTACATTTTTGGTTTAAGGTTTAAAGATTATCTCAGGGCAATAGTTTCAGGGGTTCACCTTTTTAATTTCTAACTAAAGTGTAACATACACCCCTTACCATGTACATGTACCCCCACTGCATCCTCCATCCTCCTGCTGGCCTGCTTTCTCGCCTAACCACCTTACTAGTTACTCGCTCCTATCACTTCCATCTGTCACATTTACATTTCAATATTGTATCTTTTGGAAGGATGTTAATAATTAATAAAACCGAGTTCTGCCTCTGATGAAAATTCACTCTCAAAGCAATCAACAGGTGTTCTCTGGGTTCAGAAAAGAATTTTAGAACAGGAGAAAAATGAAAAACACATCTGGTCTACTGCTCACTTCTTACTAATGAGGGAAGCACAGTTAAGAGAGGCAGCTGGGCAGCTCAGGACGCCACCGCAGACGGCCCCGTCAGGACAAAGCAGCCTCCCGCAGCTCACTTAGGCCTCTCGGCGCTCCATCACCAGCTCAGCACTTATGACTAAAGGACATTCGTCATTCTCAATCAGGGGTGTTTGGCCAGTAAATATCTTGGCTGAGACCAGCTTCCCAGTATACAAGAAAGGCAAGATCCTGACATACCTGTATATTTCAAAACTGCTCATTTATTGAGGACTATAGCGAGGACAGAGCCCTGGTGACGTAGTGGTTAAGAGCTCAGCTGCTAACCAAAAGGTTGGCAGTTCGAATCCACCAGCTGTTCCTTGGAAACCCTATGGGGCAGTTCTACTTCAACCTGTAAGGTCACTATGAGTCAGAATTGACTCGATGGCAACGAGTTTGGTTTGGGTTTTTTGTTATACTGAGGACAGAACTCTGGAGGCACAGTGGTTACGAGCTTGGCTGCTAACCAAAAGGCCTGCAGCTCAAATCCACCAGCCGCTCCTTGGAAACCCTATGGGGCAGTTCTACTCTGTAACACATGGGGTCACCATTGGTTGGAACAAACTCAACAGCAGTGGGTTATAATGAACGAGAGGCCTTTGGCTTTAACCAGCTCCAGGAAAAGGTGCCCAAACAAGAGCAAATAATGACTTTTTGCTCTGTTCATTTCTCATGCCAAAACGAGCACTCTCGGGGTTTCTGTAAATACGAAGTCTAAGCATTAGACTTAACCCTACTCAGGCACAGTGGCGTCACCAAGGTGGGTGTCACCCAGTGTGTCGCTCATGGTGTCACCCTCCCATGAATCTGCTCCCGTACCAGACCATACGGAATCCTTAGTAATCTTTATTATCAATTTTAGTGATAGGATAATGTGATAAATATAATCGTAAATTGCTTAAATGTAGTATTTCTTAGATTATATGAATACTAACAACAAAATCGTTTTGTAAAATTTTTCTACCTTGAATTACAACATTATTAGTTACGACATTATTAATGACCGAGAGGAAGCCTTTTTACGATTTTTTTCCTTTTCCTTCAATTACTACTTCATTCTTAAAAAAGTTATGGATATAGGTTCACAAATACTAATTACCACAATATTGTAGCTAAAACAGGAGAAAATTTGACAAAATCAGTGACTGTAAAAACACAGCAGCAACGAAAACAGCAGCACGTGCTTGTAGCGTGTGCAGATGAAACCACGTGATTCAAAGCGTCACTGTAATTGGGTAATAATGACAGCTCTGACTGAAGCATATTAGCAGGTTCAAAAAGTAAATGAGCATAGAGTTTTCGCCTTGTAGGTATATTGATACGTGTAAACTGGGCTTATGAAAAATGTTTTTGTTGTTATAATTAACTATAGGGATTAAAAAAAATAATAATAATGAATTTCAGCTGAAACACTGCACAAAAATTTTTTTTGACAATCATTTTGGTGTCACCCCTCTGACAGTGTCACTCAGTGTGGTCCGCACCCCCTACATCCCCCTAGTGACATCACTGCTTAGGTGTACCTCTTCATGGCCTACAAGAGTAATGTGGAATGCGTAGTAGTTAAAGGAGGCCTGTGGAATTCAGTTTTGACGCCTAACAGCATCTTTCTTTACTACAACAAATGACAAAACCCAGAAAAAAAAAGAAACCCGTTGCCGTTGAGTCAATTTCGTTCTACAGTAGACGTTCTCTGCCCCACAGAGTTTCCAAGGAGCATCTGGTGGATTCGAACTGCTGATCTTTTGGTTAACAGACGCAGCTCTTAACCATTACACCACCAGGAAATTCTCAAATGACAAAAATAATATAAAAATAACGTTTTGTAGTTTAATAATTCAGGTGAGAAATTGGTAATTAGTTCTCAGCTATTTCAAGCAAAACTAGTTACCAAGTCAATTGAGCAGGAACTTCCCTGTGGAGGAGAGAAACACCTTTTTAAGTGGAAAACAATGAATTGGATCCAATCATTAGTCAGTCTAAAGTTCTGGGTTCTGGTTACAAAAATTTTATGCCATGATTAAGCCAGGTAATGCATACTGAGAACCCAGAATGACATTTTGCCAAAATGTAACAGAGCGTCAGATGTTTCAGGGGTCAATGTGAGCTGTGAATTAAATTCTAATTAAATGCTGAAGGATTAAAAAGAAAGCAATGGCTAAGAGACAGGAATAGGTAGGTAAGTGGGCCAAATACTTAGCCCCACAAAGAAAACAGTAAGGTATACTTTTCAGCTTTACAGGTACAGATCCTCTTCCGTGAAACCTCATATTAAATCAGAGAAGCAAATGCTTGTTTGCAGCTGACCGGAAAATTCTGAACTCTTGAATGTAATATAAGATCTGCCAGGACCGAGAGCATATATTAGAAATTAACTTTCTGACTCAAAGGAAGATCTCTCCCACATGTCTTTACTTAGCTGAACCAAGGATCATGGACTTGCCGCAAGTCTTTCCTAAGCATCATCACAGCATTTACCAGAACATGCACCCACTACTAAGGTGAAATGTCTGGGCGCACGTGCAAACCCTTATAGGTTCACTTAAGACACCGATGCCGGGGTGTGCGTGACTTTGACAGCCACATTTGTATCTTAAAATTGCAAAACTGTAGCCAATAGCCTCAAAAACCCTGCTTCCAGTAGGCGTCCACTCCAGAGGCCTCATGCGACCTACTCTCCTTATTGACGCTGACTCAGGTCTCCACCCAAGAGGTGGTCAACGTTTGCAGTTACAAATTAAGGTTCACACGGCTCAAAAGCTCACAGTTCTAGAATCAGAACAAGCTTGCCCACCCTGCCCTGTGTAAAATAATTCAGCCAGAAAACGCCATACTTTCTTTAGGGAAGGGAAGAAAGGTGCTTGTGTTCTAACTCTGGTTGAAATAACTTCTAATATTAATTTAAAAAAATCAGTTGCTGTCAAATCCATTCCAACTCATGGCGACCTCATGTGTGTGTCAGAGTGGAACTGTGCTTCGTAGGTTCGAGTTCACCCAGAGGCACCTTGGAAGAAAGGGCACCATTCTTCAGAGGTCAAGCCAGTCACTTACTGTCATATCTGAAGGTGATGTTGTGCAGCCCGCTGTTCCTGCCGGCTGGCCCCACTCCCTGTGGGAAAACGAGAACATGACGAGAGTGAGGCCAGTTTGCTTTCCCGCACGGATCCCCACGGAGCCAAACCACACGCATCACTCCTGAGACCCAGCGTCATGGCAGTCCACAGCTCTTTCCACCCGCTCCACGGCCCCTGGATGCCAAACTCCCTCCTCCCTGGGGGATTCCTGACTGCCCGACACGGGGATCATGGGCGCTTGCTAGCCCGAAGACATGAGGCGCAGGTTGTTTGGGGGTTAAATAACAATTCATCAACAGTAAAACCAGGGGAGCGACCAGGGCCTGCCAGCTGGAGCCCTTCCAGCTGGATCCGCTTGAAGTACTGACCGGTTATAAAATGCACCTACCAGCCGCCCTTGTCTGCGATCCCTCAAGTCCAAGGAAACAGAGTTCTTATTCCAAGACCGAGAATGAATGTGAGAATAAGCCGTTACTTTTAATGAGAAAATTCTTCACTGCATCCCTACCTATGCTTGGAATACGTCGGGTGGGTCATAAAAGAAAAAGAAAAGGAGACTTGACAAGGTCTAACTCTATGTCTTGGGGATGTGGCCGCTCGCCATCTGTGCTCTTAATAGCAGGATAACAACTCGCCAGACTTCCCACTCTAATTACAGCATCCACAGAGGGAGCAGTGGAATCCTCCTGCCAACCTCGCCTCTTCCTAACCCCACCCATTCATCCTGGCAAAGAGCAGTGACGTATTCACCTACTCCTACTCTGACTGAACTGCTTTTGCAAATGGGCCGTTCAGCATTATTTGAACAATTCTCCAAAATCGGTTAATTTGGAAATGCTAAATGATGGGAAAATTATTCTAACCACGTGGTACAGTTTCCACTCAACAAGAGGGATGTTCTGGAAACCGTTTTCAGTAGTTGGGTATTTCATGGGCGACTGTTACACTGAGGTACAATGCACCGAACACCTCTGACGGAGCCCAGGGTCTCAGGTCACAGCCCGTGTATCTGCGTGCTGTTCACGCTGCTCATCCTGAGGCCAGCCATGCCCACCGAAATGAGGCCCCTGAGCTCAGATGCAGAAAGGGAGAAACACACACACACCCCACACACACGGTGCTCTAACTAAAGTGAGGAGTAAGCAGTAACACAAACCCTAAATCAACATGGCGCACCAGCCCATGATCTACTGCGGCTCCCTTTCTACCTGGTTCACCTTCCTTCTTCAGATTTCCTCCTTCCATCCATTCTTCCTCCCCCACACAGGATTCCAGAATTCCTCACCTGAACTGAAACACTTTGGAAGGTGTTGTCACCTTATTAAACTTCTAAGAGCTTCCATAACTCTTTAGGGGCAAGGCCACACTCTGCAACCAGATGGCCAAGACCAGAGTACATAACCAGGCAGAGGCCAGGAAGGAGATAATCCAATCCCCCCCACAGTCCTATGGCAATGTCCAAGACCCAAGCTCAAGACCTCCACACCATACCCTTCCTGCCTTACAAGCCCCCAGGACACCAGCTGGAGAAATTAATTCACTTACTATCTATTATGAGCCAGTCAGTATGCTAGGTACAATGGTGAACAAAGCAGCCACTGTCCCCGCCCTTGTGGACTGAAGGAACATGGCGTTCATTCTTTCAAAGATGAGTAATTGGGTACATGGATCACACCCCAGGGCATACAGACAAACCTCAAATCATACCTGGCTGCCCAGTACCTGAGTGAGGTCAGATGAAGGGCACGGATGACATGCACCGGGAGCTGAAGAGTGGGAATAACTGGGTAGAATGGAGCGGAAAAGGCAGCATGGCAGGAGGCAAACAAAAAATGGAATCGAGAGGCCAAGGCCAACCTTAATCCTTCCACCCAATAGTTGGTGACCGAGGGCCAGCGACTTCGCTCCACTGGGTCTTTTTAATAAAAGAATTTACACAACTGTGTTGCGGGGTGGGGGCTTGAGGAGGACCACACGACACCATGTAGAGGCAACACTTTTCACAAACGAAACTCATCCCGTTTAACAGCACGCTCCGGGGCAACTCTGGCCACTTTCTCAGCTGTTCTTTCTGTTCTTGTTTCTCCTATATTTCTCTGCAGTGTTTTTTTAACAGATATTTACGGGCACTTGCACTACGCAATGCAGTGCGGAGAGGAGCTCAAGACAGCAAGGTGTGCTCCCCCTGAAGGATTTCCATACTGTGCGTGCAAGAACCTGCTGTCAGCTGCCGTCAGTTGGCCCCCAACTCACGGCGACCCCACACACAATGGAATGAAACAGTGCCTGGTCCTGTGTCACCCCCATGATCGCTTGTGGAGTGGATCACTGTGATCCATGGGGTTTTCACCAGCTGATTTTCAGAAGTAGATCACCAGGCCTTTCTTCTTAGTCTGTCTTAGTCTGGAAGCTCCACTGAAACCTGTTCAGCATCACAGCAACACACAGGCCTCTACTGAGAGGCAGGTGGTGGCTTCACACGAGGTGCACTGGCTGGGAATCTAAACCAAGTCTCCCGCATGTAAGAACCTACATCCCTCTAAATAAGGCCCCTGTGAGCTGTGCTGGAGCCATTCAGGGGGCGCCCTGTGAGCTGGCCTCAGAGGACGGCGAGGCTTGCAGGCAGCAGCCCTTCACGACCCACTGAGCACTCCACCTTGACCCAAACCCTGCAGGGCTAGGCACCCAGCAATGAACCAGCCTGACCTCAAGCCTCAGCCACCAAGATGACCTCCTAACATTGCAAATCTGCCCTCATCCGCCTGCTCCAAACCCCTAACTGGCGTCCCTCCATCCTGAGACCGTTCCTGACGTCGTCCCTGCTGACCTTCCCAGCCACTCCTCCTACCTCCCAGACCCCTCCAGGCACTCCAACAGCACTTGGCACCTGTACTTTCCACACGCTTCTCTTCTCACACATTCCCCCTGAAGCCCTTCCTGTCAATCAGCCCTAGCTGTGCTCCCCCAAAGGGCTTCCCGCTGAGTCTAGGTCCTCACACATCAGACTTCCTGCATATTTACTTTACGGGGGCACAGTAATCCATCCCCACCACTTTACTGGCATGGCACCTCTGCCAGTGAACTGCCAAGTTGTTATTCTAATTCCATAGACAAGCAGAGACCGTAAAACCACGTGATCCTCCAAGCCTGAAGTGAGAGGCGCCATCCGAGGTAGTGGTTCCCATATGCACCACAAAGACCTTTCCCTCTTGGAAGTCCTGGAGGCCATGCTTCTCAGCCCGTGCCGCAGATGACCTTCCACCGGGCAGTCCTCGCACAGAACCAAACAACACTTCAGCTACTCCAGAATCCTCAGAAAGAGTGTGCCCAGGCTAGCCCACAGAGCACTACTGTTTTCTTTACACTTCGTGGTAGACAAATCATGGGTCCCTCAAAGATGTCCATGTCCTAACCCCTGGAAGGAACCTGTGAACGTGACCTAAAGCGGCAAAAGGGGCTTTGCAGATGTGACTAAGTTAAGGATCCTGAGACGGGGAGATTATCCTGAATAATCCAGGTGGGCTGAGTGTAATCACATTAGCAAGGACTCTCCCCTGGAGTCTCCAGAAGGAACCAACCCTACCAACACCTTGATTTAAGGCCCGTAAGACCCATTTAGAACGTCTGACCTCTTGAACTGTAAGATAATGAATTTGTGTTTTTTAAGCCACTAATTTTTGGGCCATACCCCATCTGTCAGTTTATTGTACTGTGGTGGCTTGCAATTTGCAAAATGCTGGAAGCTACTAGTATTTCAAAACCAGCAGGGTCACCCACAGTGGACAGGTTTCAGCAGAGCTTCCAGACTAAGAGAGACCAGGAAGAAAGGTCTGGCGATCTACTTCTGAAAATTAGCCAAGGAAAATCCCATGGATCACAACAGAATACTGTCTGACTTGCTTTGGACACGTCATCAGGAGGGATCAGTCACTGGAGGAGGACATCATGTGTGGTGAAGTAGGGGCCAGCAAGTGCGAGGGAGACCGTTGGTGCGATGCACTGGTACAGGAGCTGCAATGACGAACTTGAGCATGCCTGCAATTGTGAGGAAACCCTGATGGCACAGTGGTTAAGAGCTGTGGCTGCTAACCAAAAGGTCGGCAGTTCGAATCCACCAGACGCTCCTTGGAAACCCCGACAGGGCAGTTCTACTCTGTCCTATAGGGTTGCTATAAGTCGGAATCAACTTGATGGCCATGTGTTTGGTTTTTGGCTTTTTTTTGGCAATTGTGCGGATGATGCAGACTGGGCAACGGTTTGTTCTGCTGTACATAAGGTCGCCATAAGTCAGAGTCGACTAAAGGCATCTATCTAAGTTTTTGGCAATTTTTTACAGCAACAATAGAAAACTAATACGCACTTACATACTTTCGGCTGCAATGTGGATGAAACAGATCTTGATGTCACACACATGGCATGTGCTGTCATTCCCCCCCACCCCCCCCCCACACACCAAGGACAGAACTGATCACTTGTCACTATACTCTCTCTCACTCTAGCTTCAGGCAAACATGGGATACTGATTCATCAGAGCAACTGCGTGAGATTCTGCCCTCTCAGATACAGGCTTCTGTGGGGTAGCCTATGACTCGTCTGGAGTGACAGAGGGCTTAAGAGCATGGGCTTTGGAGCTACGTAGTGTAAGTTCCAATCCAGACTCTCCCACTTTCCAGCTGTGTGACCTTGGGCAAGTTTCTGCACCTCTCTGAGCCTCATTTCCCTGAGCGTGAATAAAACTTCCTGGAAAGGACTGCTGTGGGACCTGAGTGAGATGACGTATATGAAGTGCCCAGCACAGCATCTGATGCAGAATAACCCCAGAAACGGTTATATCAACAATCCCAAGAAGATTCCCGCCCTAATAAACAAAGCAAGAGTTGTATTACAGGGCGAGTTACAAGCAGACAGGAGAGAGACAGGGGAAGGTTTCCCAGGAGGTGGCATCTCCCATGTGTGATCTGTCTCCACAGGGGGATTGTGGGAGCTGGGGTGACAGACAGGGCAGGGCGGGGTGGCAGAAGGCACTGACCACCGG